GCCACTGCACTCCAGCCTGGGCGACAGAGCGAGACTCCAACTCAAAAAAAAAGAAAAGAAAGAAATTATACCGGCTGGGCTCAGTACCTCAGCCTGTAATCCCAGCACTTTGGGAGGTCAAGACAAATGGATTGCCTGAGCCCACGGGTTCGAGGCCAGCCCAGGCAACTTGGCGAGACTTCGTCTCTACAATAAAATAAAACACAGCCGGGCGTGGTAGCTCAGGTCTGTAATTCCCGCTACTCAGAAGGCTGAGGTGGAAGGATTGCTGGAGCCCAGAAGGTTGACGCTAGGGTAGCTGTGAGCGTGCATGCCATTGCACCCCAGCCTGGGCAAAGGAGTGAGACTTGAACTAAAAAAAAAGAAAAGAAGTAAATTATACCTTTAAAAAAAGCTGGAAAAAGTACAAAAATTAAAATCATCTATCAACCTATGTACAAGGATATTGGCTGCAGCACTATTGCAATAGTGAAAAGCTAAAGAGAACCTAAATGTCCCCTGGTAGGTATCTGGTTGGAGAAATGACAAATTGATACAAAAGTGATTAAAAAGAATGTGGTGGGCAAGGCATGGTGGTTCACACCTGTAATCTCAGCACTTTGGGAGGCAAGAGGATTATCTGAGCACAGGGGTTTGAGGCCAGCCTGGGCAACTTGACAAGACTTTGCCTCTACAATAAATCTAAAAATTACCCAGGCATGGTGGTGCACACCTGTGGTTCCAGCTACTTGGAAGGCTGAGATGGAAGGATTGCCTGAGCCCAGCAGGTCAAGGCTGCAGTAGCTGTGAACGTGCCACTGCACTATAGCCTGGGCAACACAGTGAGACTCTGACTCAAAAAGAAAAAAAGAATGTAGTGGGTCTGTACGTATGACTTAGATGGCTGTGACACGGTCTGAAGAGGAAAGGCAAATGCAGACCCATGTGATGCCATTATATTCTGACGTATGACCTTGCGTGCTTTTTGCGTATGACAATTTTCGTGTGTGAGATCAGTACAAACCCTAGCAGGGGAAGTTAGACAAGGTCACCTCAGACATCCTGAGTCAGGGACTTCCTCTCCCCTTCTCTTCCCTTTTCCTGACAGATAGCCTTTCATCGGTGCAGTAACTCCTGGGTGCACAGAGATTTATGAGAAGACTATGGATTACATTCCTTCATGGTGAGATGGGGAAAAAAAGAAAGACTGTTCACTACAGAATCGAGTATAACAGCAGAAAACTATAAACAGCCTCAATGTCCAAGAAGGCACTAAATAATTACCACTTTCAATTCAATGTGTACTTAATAAAATAAAAAAGTAGAATGCAAAATCATATTCAGATCTTTTTTTTTGAGTTGGAGTCTCACTTCATCGCTCAGGGTAGAGTGCAGTGGCATGGTCATAGCCAATCCAGCATTGACCTGCTGGGCTCTGGTGATCCTTCCACCTCAGCTTTCCAAATAGCTGAACTACAGGAGTGTGCCACTATACTCAGCTAATTTTTTATTTATTGTAGAGATGAGGTCTCACCAAGTAACCCGGGCTGGTCTCGAACCCATGGGCTCAGGCAATTCACTCGTCTCAGCCTCCCAAAGTGCTGGGATTACAGGCTGAGTCACTGAGCTGGGCCCATATTCAGATTTTTTTTTTCCTTTTTTCCCGAGTTGGAGTCTCACTCTGTCGCCCAGACTGGAGTGCAGTGGCATGCTCCCAGCCACCGCAGCCTCAGCCTGCTGGGCTCCGGTGGTCCTTCCGCTTCAGCCTTCCAAGTAGCTGGAACTACAGGTGCACACTACCACGCCCGGCTAATTTTTAAATTTATTATAGAGATGGGGTCTCATCAAGTTGCCCAGGCGGGTCTCGAACCCGCGGGCTCAGGCAATTCACTCACCTCGGCCTCCCAAGGCGTGGGATTACAGGCTGAGCCACTGAGCCCGGCCATATTCAGATCTTGATGGGAGCTTAGAGTTACAGATATTTGCACTTGTCAGATGTACACTCAGGATTTGTGCATTTTATTATGTGTGAATTTTACCTAAAAATTTAAACAAGTCTGAAAACACATTGAACTCTAGCTAATGATATGCATGCTGAAGTATGTAAGGGCAGTGTGCTGATATCTGCAATTTACACTGTAAAGTATAAAAAATAAGGTCTGATAGATAAATGGAGGATACATACACAATACTGTAAATGTCAATGGTAGAATCTTGGTGATGGGTCTTTACTACAACAGTATTTCAACTTTGCAGTATATTTGAAACCTTTCAAAATAAAATGTTGGAAAAAGCATATTTAGTATCTAAAAAAAAAAAAAAAATGCATGGGAAAATATTCTAGAAGAAAATTCACCAAAATGTACAGTGATCATATCTGGGTGATGTGATTATAGGTGATTTTTAAAACTTCTCATCTTTGGCCAGGCTCAATGGCTCAGCCTATAATCCCAGCACTTTGGAAGGCCAAGACAAGAGTATTACCTGAACCCAGGGTTTCAAGACCAGCCCGGGCAACTTGGCAAAACATTATCTCTACAGTAAATCAAAAAATTAGCCAGGCGTGGTGGCGCATGCCTGTGGTTCCAGCTACTTGGAAGGCTGAGGTGGAAGGATCACCTGAGTCCAGCAGGTTGAGGCTGTGGTGGCTGTGAGCGTGCCACTGCACTCCAACCAGGGTGACAGGATGAGAGTCTAACTCAAAAAATAATAATAACCGGTTGGGTGTGGTGGCTCAAGCCTGTAATCCCAGCACTTTGAGAGGTCAAGGCGAGAGAACTGCCTAAGATCAGGGATTTGAGATCAGCCTAGGCAACTTGATGAGGCCCCATCTCTATAATAAATTTAAAAATTAGCCAGGCGTGGTAGTGTGCACCTGTAGTTCCAGCTACTTGGAAGGCTGAGGTGGAAGGATTACCTGAGCCCAGCAGATCGAGGCTGCAGTGTCCGTGAGCATGCCACTGCACTCCAGCCTGGGCAACAGAGTGAGACTCCAACTCAAAAAAAAAAAAAAAAGCTGAGCATGGTAGTGTGCACCTGTAGTGCCAGGTACTTGAAAGGCTGAGGCAGAAGGATCGCCTGAGCCCAGCAGGTCAAGGCTGCAGTGACCGTGAGCGTGCTACTGCACTCCAGTCTGGGCGATGGAGTGAGACTCCAACTCAAAAAAAAAAAAAACTGAACAAAAGACTTAAGTAAGCTGGGCTCAGTGGCTCAGCCTGTAATCCCACGCCTTGGGAAGCTGAGGTGAGTGAATTGCCTGAGCCCGTGGGTTCGAGACCCGCCTGGGCAAC